CCGCCCCCCCCGCCGCCTCCGCCTCCGCCGCCGCCGCCGCCGCCGCCGCCGCAGGCAACCCCTCTGCTATGCACAGCCGCCTCCTTTACCCGTGCGACTCCGGCCGCGCCCGCGGCAGTCACAGCGATCGTGGTAGCAGCAGCGGCGGCCGGAACCCGAGCACCCACCCCCCGCGGTCGAGCCCGGCGGAGCCTCGCCGCCCCCACGGTCCCCGCCACGTCCCCGCCGCCGCCGCTTCCCTTCGGGACGGCCACGTCGACGGCCATGTCGCCGGCGGCGGTGGCACCGCCCGGGGGGATCACCCTCGCAGTCGCGTTGCTGCTCCTTTTGGGGACGGGAGAGCTGCCGCTCCCGCCTCCCGCCGCGGTAGCGGCGTTGTCGTCGCCGTCGCCGGGGATGATGGTCATCCTCGCGCCCGTGGGGGCGGGGGCGCTGTGCGGCGTGCTGCTGGGGATAGAGGAACGGCCGCCCGCGGCCGGGGCGGGGGTCGTCGTCGTCGTCGTCGTCGTCGTTGTTGTTGCTGTTGTTGTTGTTCTCCCCGTGGTGGTCATCGTGACCCCTCTGTCGCTGCTATTGGAGGTGTTCCGTCTGCGGGGGTCGCCTCCGCCGCGGCCGTTGGCGCTCGGAGCACTGCTACTCGCTACCCCTACAACCGCTGCCGCTGGTGCTGCCGCCGCTGGTGCTACCGTTTGTGGTGGTGGTGGCGGTGGTGGTGGCGTTGGTGCTACTATCGGTGCTGCTGCTGCTGCTGCTGCTGCTGCTGCTGCTGCCGGTACTATTGGACGGGCGACAGTTTCCCAGCCGCGTCGTCTCGGACCTCCAACACCTCCAACACCCGCCTCGCTACCACCGCCGCCAACACCACCTCGCTTACTACCACTACCACCACTACCACTACCACTACCACTACCACTACCACTACCACTACCGCTACCGCTACCGCCGCCGCCGCCGCCGCCGCCGCCCTCGCCGCGTCCCCCGCCTCCTCTATGCCCGTTACCGCTGTCGCCGCCCCTGGCGTGCCCGTGGCCGTTGCTGCCGCTGCCGCTGCCGCTGCCGCTGCCGCTGTTGCTGCCACTGCTACCGCTGCTGCCGTCGCCACTGTTACCGTTACCGCTGTTGCCAAAATCGCCGCTCCTACCGTCGAGCTTGGCGGACGCCGGTCTCATCCTCCTCCGCACCTGATCTTCTGGGAAGCAGAAGTCGGGAAGGTGTACGCCCTGGTTTGTGCGGCCGGAACAGGGGAAGGGCACGCGCGCGGGTGGGGGTGGGGGTGAGACCACAGCAGTGGGTGGAGTGTCAAGATAACCCTAACAGAATGCAAGAGTCCTGCACAAAACGTCGTGGCGATACGTATTGCACGAAGGGTTGGTTGCACGGCAAAAAAAAAGAAAGAGGGCATATCCAACCCACACTCACGTGGACGGCTTTGACATCCACTTCCATTCCTTCGCGCCGTCTTCGCCGGTCTCCCCACGAATCCACCTGCGCGACACAAACAAAAACCACGCAAGCATACGACAAGGAAAATAGACAAACAACATCGTCTGCGTGCGGGTAAACAAGAACTACACAGCGAGGCAACAAAGAAAAAAGAGGACGGTATATAGATGTACACAAAAAAATGGTTGACACAACCAGAAAAGAGAAATTCGCTTCATCTTCGTCCCGCCAAAACGCGGCGTGTTTTCGTTGGTTACCCAGTCCAACGCGATCGGCGCCGAGAACAAAGAGAGTGCCACAAAACATGTCGACGAAACTCAAAACATCAAGACAGCAGAAAATTCTTCCCTGTAACAATACACGAAAGCCATGAAACCTACGTTCTTCTGTGCGTGCATGTTTCACACGCGTCGCGGGAAGGTTAGGGATTGAAGGATTGAGAGATTGAGGGATTGAGGGATTGAGCAAGGGAGCAGGAGCAGGAATGTCACCGAGACATCCGCGGTGCACGTAGGAACCAACCACATGTGCGTGGGCTTAGGCATGTACGCGCGAGCAGGGGGGGGGGGGCTTACCCGCATCATGAAATCTCTCCAGGCAGGGGTGAGGTCGACCGGCACGCCTGCGGGACTCCTTCCTTTCGCGATCTCAGGGAAACCCAACCCTGCCGCAGACACAAGATACACAAGACACACACGTCAAGACGGAAACAACGAGCGGCCGGACGAAAGAGGAGACGAAACACACGAGAGAGAGCGAATCATCAAACATGGTAAGGCATAGGACGAGGGACGGGAAAACAAGAGGGCGGGCGGGGGG